TCACCAACACCACAGTTCAGAGGCATCGGTTCTTCTCGGGTCATCCTCATTCCTTGTCCAGCGTTCACATGCATAGGAGGTTGGGGTCATAAGAGCAACCTCATCTTCAGAGTACACCTGTGACTTGACCTCGCCTGTGAAGTGGTACAGCGACCTGGCCCCACCTCAGCACCCACAGCAAGATGGAAAGGATTGGGTCAGAGTAGGACTTCACGCCACAGGGTTCCCAGTGGCCACTGCCTCTCACTGTTTGCACCAGCCAGGGACTCCTCCTTGGCTGGTGCACCAAGTCTCTTCCCTTCTGTGACATGCCTGCCTGGTGGTGGTGTTAGTGAGTCCCAGCAGAGGAAGGTAGAAGGCAGAGAGGGTGACAGGATCCCAGGGAGCTGGGCAGGAGGTCTGGGTCCAGAGCAGGCCTCAGGGTGAGCCCCAGGCTTTTAGGGAAGTTGGCTTTGCTGGGCCCTAGGCAGGCTCTGAGCGAGTCCGCGAGGGTGTGTAGACAGGAGAGGGGCTCACTGTCATTTCCTTACCTCTGTCATCCTGTCCTGCTGACCTTCAAAAACCCAACACCCCATGTGAGGCTGCAGGGCTCACCGGGTCCTCCAGGGTGCTGGACACCAGGTGTGAGGCCTCCGTGTGGCCACCGCTCCTATACTCTCCTGGGTAGAAGTGGGGGCTGAGGTGGGAGTTAGCCAAGTGAAGGGGCAGATGGAGGGCTGCCTGACCCAGGAATAGCTCTGCCACCCCTGGAGGCCTGGGGATGTGGCTGAAGGTGGGAGGGGGTCTCCTTGAGGGGGAGTTTACACATGGGGGAGCTTTGGGGGTCAGGGTTGGTGTTTAGGGGCTCACTGTGCTGAGATGATAAGGAGCTCTGGTAGTGTAGTGGTAACCTCACAGTCAGCAGTTCGAAACGACCAGCAGTTCGTGGGAGAAAGATGAGGCTTTCTGCTCCGGTAAAGATTTGCAGCCTCGGAAACCCTGAACAGAACAGGGTCACTATGAGTTGGAACCAACTCCACGGCACATAACAACATGCTGGGATGATAAACACATCCAGGTTTCCCAGGAGAGACCATGACAAGCTGGACCGAACCAGTCCAGGGTGCAAGGAAGAGGCAGATTGAGGCTGGTTAGGAAGGAAGAAGACAGGACAGGGTAGAGGCCTGGCTGGGAGGCGGTGGCTGGCCGGCTGGGTCAGCACCCACAGGTCTGTACTGCCTCCCCTTTTGTAAGTGTGGGGTCTTCTGAACTTGTAATGCAGGAAGTTCCTATACCATCTCCCCTGGTCCTGAGAACCGTGTGGCTTCCATTCCCAACCCCCCCCCCCCCACACACACACTTCAAGGAGAGTCTTCCCAGGCCTGAACTGAGAACTGGCTCTGAGGACTGTGTCCCATGCCTCAAGGACTGTTTCCCTGGTCCCTAAAGGAGGTAAATCCATTTCCCATCCTCCCTCAGTCCTCCTTCCCACCCTTACTCTGGAGAGCAGTTCCCTAGATAAACTAACCCGTGCCTTGATTCTCAGTTCTGAACCTTCCAGAATAGAATCCAAGCCTACTTCTGCAAGGCAGGGGAGCAGGTTGGGCGGGGTGTCAGGGTGACACAGGCCAGCAGGGTGCCGTGGGAGCAGCTGGTGTGCAGGCCTCCACCCCACGTGGAGTCGGAGCTGCCTGCTGTAGTACCCTTCCCCCCCCCTCCCCAGGAGTAGTGGGAGGAGCTGGCTCCCTTAGTCATTATCCTCAGTTTGGAGTCTTCCCCCACCGCCGACCCAGTTGTACTTGGAGTACTAGCAACGCGTGTGATTCATCCCCCTTCGGGCCTGCGCTGAGCTTGCCAGCTGTGACCTTTGGGGTTTCTTACACATCCTTCAGTTGCATACCATTTAGGGGAAGGAATTTTTAGGGTTGAAATCTGTCCACCCCAACCTCAGACATCCTCCATCCTCACTTCCAGCCCCCAGGCCTGGGGAGCTACCCTTCACAGGTACCCAGGCTGGGCATGCCAGTGTAGACAAGTTAATGATCCTCTCAGCTTGCCCCCTCGCCACTGAGGGCAAGAGCCTCAGTTGGCTTTGGTGCTGTTGTTGGGCATCCCGTGTGGTGTGGAGTAGGACCGTCTGTGGCTGTTTTTCTGCTGTAATCTATAGAAGCAGACCTACTGGATGTGTTCAAACCCTCAACCTCTGCATTACACTAACGCCTGGCAAATCTTCCTGATGATGGTGGCCCGTGGACTAGACTGTCTGATCTTGTGAGGGGACTTGTCAGTGTTAGGGTCTCGAGAAGGAACTTGGGCAGAGAGTTAGGTTAGTCCCTGCATCTTTCATTCTAAAATTGGCTGCACTGAGGTGTGTGATTTGCATGGACCAAGACTGGTCGGTTTCATGGACAACTTGAAGTTCAATAAACATGTGCCGTCTCCTGATCACCATCTCAGATGAGGTAGGAAACACTCCATTGTTCGAGAAAGTGCCCTGTGTTCAGTTTGCCCCAGCTCAGCCCATAGCAGCTTCTGATGTGCTCTCTGTCACACTGGGTTTGCCTTTTCTAGAATTTCATATAAAGTGTGCCTTTTGGTGTAAGCTTTCTTTCTGAGGTTCATGCCTATTTTTGAGTGTTTCAGTAGAGTGTCTTTTTATTATTGCTGTTGTTAATTGCCATCAAGTCTGTTCCGACTCACAGCAACCCTGTGTAGGGTGTCCACGGAGTGACTGGTAAGTTTGAACCACTGGCCTTGTAGTTCAAACCGACCTTGTGGTCCAGGGCTTTATCGTACTGCGCCATACCAGGACTCCTTTTATTGCTGAGTAGAAAGTATAATTCACTGACTGGATGTACCACAGGTACATTTTGGGCCTTTTGGATTGTTTCCAGTTTGGCACTTTAGCCCACACGGGCTTTCATGTCTCAATTCTCTTGAGTAAATAGTTGCAGGTTTGGATGATAAAACATGTGCAGCTATCTGGCACATTATTTTCCTAAGGGGAACCCTGACCATTTTGCATTCCCACCAGCAATCGGTGAGCGCTCCAGTCGTCCCTCCACCCACCCCAGACCCTACCCTTGCCACCATTTGGTGATGGCAGTCTTTTCGTCTTAGCCATCCATGGGGCTGTGTGGTGAGCAGTATCTCATAGGAGTTCTGATTGCCATTTCCCAAAAGACTGATGATGATTTGCATTTCGTGGGGTTTATCCGTCATTCCTTTGGCAAGTTTGGGTCCTAGGCACCTTTCTAATTTCACTAGCAAATGTTTACTCAGACCGGGCTTAATTTCTGAAGCCTGCTGTATGCTTGAGGAAATGCTAAGTGTTCACTACGGACTATGCAAACTGTTCAAGAATTCGCTTATTGAGGACCTGTCATTTCCTTGGTGCCAGTTGGGCACAGTGGGTTAAACATTGGTTTGCTAACCAAAAGGTATGCAGTTTGAATCCACTGTCTGCTCCATGTGAGAAAGTTGAGGCCTTCTGTCTCCGTAAGGATTTAGAGTCTCAGAAACCCTATGGGGAAGTTCTCCTATGGCCTGTAGGGGCTCTATGAGTCGACTCAGTGCCAGTGGATGTGGTGTGGTTTGGGGCCAGCTGAGGAGATCCGTGATCCATTAAGCCTGCCCAGAAAGCTTGGGGTAGCTGGACAAAAAGTGGTCTGCTGTGATGCCTGGTGCAGCGAGTGCGTTTGGCCTGATGGTAAGCTTGGTGTCTACGTGGGTGTACCGCTGTTGCAGGCAGAGGGCCTTAGACCAGTGTGGCAGCAAGTTCAGGTGGTTGGGCTAGAAGACGTGAGGGTTTTTTCTCTGGTGGGTCAGGAGGGCACACAGGCCTGGGTGGGAGTAGTTGCAGGTAGTTAGGTGTGCCTGTAGTTGTTCTTTCAGGAGAGCTGAGTGGCCTCCCCTGGGGTCTGGGAGTACTTGGGTCCTGGGAAGGTGAGGGCAGGTGACAGGGACAAGAGGTTTCCTGCTGGAGGAAGCAGTCTGGGCCCGGGGACCCACCGAGAGCTTCGACAGTTGTGTGACTGGCTGTCTTGCTTGTGCCTTGCTGCCACTGTGGGTTCAGCATTGGGCTGCTTAACTGCAAGGTCTGCGGTTCAAACCCACCAGCTGCTCTGTAGGAGAAAGATGAGACTTTCTGCTTCTGTAAAATTTTAGGAACGGACTCATTGGCTGTGGGTGTTTTGGTTTGGTGTGTGTGGAGGGGGGAAGAGTGGAGGCTTAGTGGTCTCCTTTTGTAAATTGTATGGTAAAATCTCAGTGCTGTGTACCAGTGATAGGGAGTGGCCCAGCTCCAGCCCCTCTGTCTTGTGTGCGGACCTGCCTAGGGACTGGCAGCTGGGATAGAACTGGCGTAGAGTGGTGCCTGGAGAGTTGGCCTGGGGGTGGGGACAAGGCAGATGAGAGATGCCTAATGAACAAACTCGTTTCAGCTGCCGGCATCCCAGAGGTTGGAGAAAGCCTCAGCTCTTCCCATGAGTTCTAGGTTTTGCATACTGCACGAATACACCTGGGTTCTGGACCATGAAAAGCTCCAAAAAGCAGAAAACTGCCTGAAATTCTAGACTAAGTCATAGGTTACTAAGTTAAAATTACCTGAAATTCAATCACCTCCAGGTGTGTGTGTTAGGGCAGGGAGGCATACATAAAGAATTTCCTTGATAAAGTTTTTGGATAAAATGATGATGTGTGTCTGTACAGGCAGGCCTAGGAGATTTGGCGGGGTCGACTCCAGTACACTGCAGTAATTCCAGTTACATGACGCCCGCGGTCTCCCGGTACATGTAAAAGTGCTATCTGTCATCTACAGAGTGTGCAGTAGTATTATGAAACAGTTTGAAATATTGCGAGAGTGACCAAAATGTGGCACAGAGACACACTGCTGGAAAAGTGCAGTTAGACAGCAAGGAGTGCCCGTCTGCCGGGCGTCTCAGACCGCTGGTTTGGAGTGCTGAGCACAGTGTGGCCATGTGTACCTCACTGGTGTTTCTTCTGGGCTCTCCTCCCTGCAGAACCCCGCCATTGCTGACATCTACACGGAGCACGCGCACCAGGTGGTGGTGGCCAAGTACGCGCCTAGCGGCTTCTACATCGCTTCCGGAGGTACGTGGATGAGGACGGTTCCCGGTGGGGTGGTATGGCGTGGTCGGTGGGTGGATGGAGGCGAGCAGGCCGCCTGTGAGACAAGGGATCCTGGAAAAGCGTGAATCCCCAGAAAGCCCCGCTGCTTTCTCGTTGGCTGTGTTCCAGCTCGGTCCATCGTGAGGTCACCAGAGCTGCTTCTGCTTTGTTGAGTTGCCCAGGGGCCTTTGTGGGCAGCTGTAATATGTCAGAGTGCCCTGGTGGATAGAGCGCTTGACTGCTAACCACAGGTTGGCAGTTTGAAACCACCAGCTGCTCTGAGGGAGAAAGAGACGGCAGCGGCTGCTGTAAATAAGACTGCTTTGTTGGAAACCCTGTTCTTCCAGTGTCTCTCGAGTCAGAATCTACTCAACGGCAGTGGGTGGATAATGCTCCATTCGTCTGAGACTTTTTGAAGCCTCCTGGGATAGTGAGTTGATGCTAGGTCACGTATGTGCGTGTGTGTGAATTTGTAGTTTTGTTTTATGCCATCTTTGTTCACTGCTTTCTGAGTACCTAGCTCAGTGTCGGCCTCAGAGCTCACCTCTGTTTTGTGGAGAAGACATCTGCTGTTACCTGGGCTTTCTGTGTAGGCTGGTGACAAGGAAACAGGCAGAAAGAGTGACTTGGCAGTCTCGTGCCTGGTCACTTTGTTCTCCTAGCTGATTTCAGGGTAGATGGTGTTCTTTCCTGCTACAGATGAGAAAGCAAGGCACAGAAATTAGATTGGCTTGCCCTGTGTCTCCTACCTATCTTATCCATCCATCCACTCAACCACCTATCCAGCCATCCCTGCACCCACCCACCTTCCATCCGTCCACTCACCCATCCATCTACCCACCCATTCACCTGTCCATCCAGTCATACATACATACATCAACCCACCCATATATCTAGTCATGCATATATCCACCCACCCATCCATTAATTCATCCATTCATTCATTCATTCACCCACCTGTTCATCCATCCATCTACCTATCCACCCATCGACCCATCCTTCTATTCATCACTCAGCACACTGATCACCTACAGCTATGCTGCCTGTGCCCAGCTGTCTCCAGCACCAGGAGAGTCAGTGGATGAGGCTGGCCTGGCCTGGCTAGCACCTGGGGGCAGGGACAGGAATTGCTGACAGACCTAGCCAGCCGGTAGGGGGAGAGCCAACATGAGCTGCCACCGTCTCATCTGCGCTGCACTCACTCCCAGCATGGTGGTGAAGGTACCTCTAGCTTGTGTGTGTCTAGGAGAATGGAAATGACCTTGACCTACGGCCTGCGTGGAATGACATACTTTCCCGGGTCTTCATTTTCTCTCTGTAAACCTGAGTTGTAGGGGAGGACCCTGTGAGGCTATGCATGTGAAATGGTTCCTATGGCTCACAGTACCTCTTAGGTACTGGCCACAGTTCTGGTCACTAAACCATGGTATGCCTGAAGGAGCAAGGGCTCTGCCCATGACCAAGCCACAGTGGAACAGATGTCGTGGTTCTAGGTGAAGGACTGGCCAGTCCGGCTTGTAGTAGACACTTAAGGGTTTTGTGTTAGACATAGCCCAGTGCTTCTGTAAGGCTTGCTCTAATCATGTCTCATGATTTATTTTAGCCCAGGGAGTTTTGTGGGGACTTTTGTCTTTTTTTTTCTGTTGCTCAGCTTGCCAGCAGAATGTCTCTTCAATTAAAGTCCCAAGGTTTGGCACAGGCGCGTTTTTAATAACCGAGCCATGTGCTCTGAGACATGTCATCTGTGGAGAAGAATGTCGCTGGTGAAAACCTTCCTGCCCTTCTTGTTTCACAGCCACCAGGGCTGAACCTGGCCTGCCCTCTCCCAGGTCCCCAGAGGGCCGTCCAACAAGACAGAAATCGATGGCCTGGGAGATGCTAATGCGGGATCAATGAAGCCTGGTGCAGAGACTGGGCACAAGACAGTCCCCAGCTGGAGTCCCCTCTCCAGCTGAGTGGAGGGGTCCAGCAGGGAGGGGGTCAATGCGTGTTGGAACCGAGCGACAGCGCTGCTCTGTGAGCGCAGTGCATTGATTGTTACAGGATCTACTGCAGCCTGGCCGCAGGACAGAGAGCCCTGGGCTAAAAATAGCGGCTGGGTAGGTTTGGAAGGCAGAGGAAGGAGGGATCACCAGGTGCCCACTGTGCCCAGCCTGGAGTGAGGGTGGGAGTCAATGTTGGGGTCTTACTCAGTGTAGGGCTCCTATGATTTCTTGTGGCCTTCTGGACCGGCCTGGGTGGGGCGGAGCTTATCACTGTGGGTTTGAAGGGGTGTATGGGTGAGTGAAATTGAAGAGGGGTGTATGAGGGTGTGAGTGAAATTAAAGGGGGGGTGTGAGGGTGTGAGTGAGACTGAAGGGGGGTGTGAGGGTGTGAGTGAGACTGAAGGGGGGTGTGAGTGAGATTAAAGGGGTGTTGTGTGAGGGTGTGGGTGAGTGAGTGAGACTGAAGGGGGGGTATGAGGGTGTGTTGGGAAGTGGACATGAATGTGCATGTGGGGGCATTACTTCATGTGGGGAATGCACGAATGGGGATGGATGTGGGGGTGAGTACGTGTGTGGGGAGAATGGAATGTAGGGGTGAGTGGGTGTGATTGTACATGTGTGTGGGGATGACTTGCAGGCATGAGCGTAAATCTGTGAGATTTAAGTGCGCATGTGGGACGTAATCTGTGTGGGTGAGTGACTCTGTGTGACCCCCAAGTCTCCCTGGTCTGTTGTGCTCCTAAGTGGGGATGTTCTGAGGGTGCTTCCTGCAGACCCTCCATTAACTAGCTGTCAGTAGTGCTGGCTGTGTGCTGAGGGTGACCTCCTTGCCCTGTGCAGCCACCCTAGGAATAGTGTTGGAGACAGCACAGCCCGAGGTAGCAGAGCAGGGGCTCCTGGGTTGGAATGACTGCCCTGTGGGCTTGCTGTTGAGTCCTAGCTAAAGGTTGTGGGCAGACTTGCTCTGATGCCAGCACCCTGCTGATTTGGGAGGGGTGGGCTCCTGGTATGTTTGGTGATAGTGACTGGTGGCGTGTGACTAAAGATCCCCCGCAGCACTGCTCCACATCTCCCACCTTGCCATTGCCCAAGAGAACCCTACATGAGCTTCAGTCAGTCCCAGCTGTAGCATCGTTCCCAGCCGTCCTGAGGAGCCTGGCCCCTTGCCCAGTCCAGCACTGCCCACACTTGTCTGCAGCTGCCCTGCCCAGGAGAGGCGGACTTAGCTAGTGCACTCAATTCAGCAGAGTGGCGGAGGGAGTTGTCCATGGTCCCCACACCTGTGTGTTGTTGTTAGGTGCCATCAAGTTAGTACCGACTCAGCTACCCCATGCACAACAGAAGGAAACAGTGCCTGGTCCTGGGCCAGCCTTACAACTGTTGCCACGCTTGAGCCCATTGATGCTGCCACTTTGCCAATCCATCTCGCAGGGGGTCTTCCTCTTTTTCTCTGACCCTCCACTTTACCAACCATGATATCCTTCTCCATGGATTGGTCTCCCCTGACAATATGTCCAAAGTATGAGACATGAACTCTGACCATCCTGGCCTCCAAGGAGCACTCTGGCTGCACTTCTTCCAACACAGATCTGTTAGTTCTTTTGGCAGCCCATGGCACTTTCAATATTCTCCTCCAACACCATAACTCAAACAGTTCTTCCACAGTCGTCTTCCTTATTCACTGTCCAGCTTTCACATGCATATGAGGCTATTGAAAATACCATGGCTTGGGTCAGGAGCACCTTAGTCCTCAAGCTGACATCTTTGCTCTTCAACACGTTAAAAAGGTCTTGTGCAGCAGATTTGCCTAATGCAATATGTCATTTGATTTCTTGGCTTCTGCTTCCATGAGTGTTGATGGTTGAGCTGAGCAAAATGAAGTCCTTGACAACTTCAGTCTTTTCTCCATTGATATGGATGTTGTTTATTGGTCCAGTGGTGAGGATTTTTGTTTTCTTTACATTGACATGCAATCCATACCAAAGGCTGTGGTCTTTTTTGTCTTCTATTTTATGTCCTCCTGACTTTTTCAGCAAGCAAGTTTGCATCATCAGCATATTACAGATTGTTAATGAGTCTTCCTCCAATCCTGATGCTATGTTTTTCTTCATATAATCCAGCCTCTCGTATTATTTGCTCAGCATACAGATTGAATAAGTATGGTGAAAGAATACAACCCTGTCGCACACCTTTCCTAATTTTAAACTATTTGGTGGTTGAGTAACTGCCTCTTGGTCTATGTATAGTTTCCTCATGAGCATAATTAAGTGTTCTGGAATACTCAATCTCCTCAATGTTGTCCATAGCTTGCTGTGATCCACACAAGCCTTTACGTAATTAATAAAGCACAGGTAAACATCTTTCTGATGTTTTCTGCTTTCAGCCAATATCCATCTGACGTCAGCCATAATGTCCCTTGTTCCACGTCCTCATCTGAATCCAGCTTGAACCTTAGGCAGTTCTCTGTCAATGTACATTTATAGCCATTTTTGGATTATCTTTAGCAAAATTTTAGTTGTATGAGATTAATGATATTGTTTGATGACTTCTGCATATAGTTGGGTCACCTCTCTTTGGAAAGGTCACAAATACGGATCTTTTACAGTCAGTTGTCCACTTAGTTGTCTTCCAGATTTCTTGGCACAGATGAGTGAGTGCCTCTGTGCTTTGTCAGTTTGTCCATCAATTCCCGGTGTCTTGTTCTTTGCCAGTGCCTTCAGTGCACCTTGGACTTCTTCCTGTAGTATCATTGTCTTGATCATATTGTACCTCTTGAAATGACTGAACACTGACCTTTTCATTTTGGTACAGTGACTCTGTGTATTCCTTCCATCTCTTTTGATACTTTCTCTGTCATTCAATATTTTGCCCATAGACTCCTACAGTATTTCAGGGCGAGGCTTGAATGTTTTATTCAGTTCCCTCAGCTTGAGAACTGCTGAGCGTGTTCTTCCTTTCTGGTTTTCTAACTCTAGGTCTTTGCACGTTTTGTAATAATATTTAACTGTGTCTTCTGGAGGTAGCTACTCTTTGAAATTTTCTATTTGTCACTTTTAATTCCTCATTTCTTCCCTTTGCTTTAACATCTCTGTGCTGGAGAGCAAATTTCTGAATCTCTTCTCACATCCATTTTGGTCTTTTCCTTTTTTCTTGTCTTCTTAATGACTTTTTGCTTTCTTCCTGTATCATGTTCTTGATGTCATCCCACGTCCCTTCTGGTCTTTGGTCTTTAGTGCTTAATGCATCACATCTGTTCTTGAGATGATCTCTAACCTCAGGTAGGATTGTTTAAGGTCATTTTTTTTTTTTTTTTGCTCTCATGGACTTGTTTTAATTTTCTTCAGCTGCAGCCTGAATTTGCATAAGAGCAATTAATGGTCTGTTCCACTCTGCCCCAATCTGGGTTTGGTTGATGATGTGGACCTTTTCACCATCTATTTCCACACATGAAGTTAACTTGATTTCTGTGTATTTTGTCTGGTGATGTTCATGTGTGTAGTTAGTTGTCTCCTATGCTGTTTAAAAAAGGTATTTGCAATGAAGAAGTCATTGGTCTTGCAAACTTCTATCATGTGGTCTCCAGCATAATTTCTATCACCAATGCCATATTTTCCAACTACTGATCCTTCCTCTGTTTCCAACCTTTGTTTTCCAGTCACCAGTAATGATCAATACATTTTGATTGCATGTTTGATCAATTTCAGACTGAAGAAGTTGATAGAATTCTTCAGTTTTATCATTGCTGCTGTAGTGGTTGGTGCGTAACTTTGAATACTAGTGGTTTTAACAGGTCTTCCCTGTAGGCGCATGGATATTATCCTATCACAGACAGTGTTGTTCTTCAAGACAGATAGGTTCTTTTGGATAATGAATGTGACACCATGTCTCTTCGCCATTCCGGGCATAATAAACCATGTGATTGTCAGATTCAAAATGACCAATACCAGTCCATTTCAGTTCACTAATGTCTAGGGTGTGGATATTTACACATTCCATATCATTTTTGACAATTTCCAGTTTTCCAAGATGCATACTTCATACATTCCATGCTCTTGATTATTAATGGATGTTTACAACTGTTTCTACTCATTCTGAGTTGTGCCCTGTCAGCAAATGAAGGTCTTGAAGGCTTTATACAGTCACTGTACTCTGAGGAGGCAGCTAATCCCCAGGCGCATTTTGAGTGCCTTCCAACCTGAGGGGCTCATTTTTCAGCACTAAATATGACAGTTTCTCTGCTGTTCATAAGGTTTTCAGTGACTAAACGTTCAGGTGTAGTCCATCTCTCCTCCTTCCTAGTCTGTCTTCATCTGGAAGCTCATCTGAAACCTCTCCACCGTGGGTGACCCTGTTGTTGTTGTTGTTAAGTGCCTTCGAGTCGGTTCCGACCCATAGCAACCCTGTACAGGGTTTCCGAGGGTGTAAATCTTTACGGGAGTAGAAAGCCTCATCTTTCTCCCGCGGAGCGGCTGGTAGTTTCGAACCACTGACCTTAAGGTTCGCAGCCCGATTCGTAACCACTACGCTGGTGTTTAAAATACTGGTGCCATAGCTTCCAGAATCACAGCAACATGCAAGCCATCCCAGGATGACAAAATGACAGACGCGTGGTGGCCCACATCTGTAGAGCCCCACAAACCAAATGCCCGAACAGTTGCCATTGAGTCGCCTGGTTCTTGGCACCCCATGTGTGCAGAGTAGAGCTGTTCCATTGGGTTTTCAGAGCTGTGGCCTTTCAGAAGCCAAGCAGATAGCCAGGCTTTTCTACCTAGGTGCCTGTGAGTGGGTTAGAAGTTCCAGGCTCGTTAGTACTCAATGACTTAAACCCATCACCCGGGGACTCTGGGTCTCTTGGGAGGAGAGCTGAGCTGCTGCGTGCCCTGAGGCATATCCCCAGACTGAAGGGCCAGCCTGCACTTCCAGCCGCCCCTTGACGTGTGTCCGTACCCCGTGTGCCGGCAGATGTGTCCGGGAAGCTGCGAATCTGGGACACTACGCAGAAGGAACATCTGCTCAAGTACGAGTACCAGCCCTTTGCCGGGAAGATCAAAGACATCGCCTGGACGGAGGACAGCAAGAGGATCGCCGTGGTCGGGGAGGGCCGGGAGAAGTGAGTGGTTCCCCTGCCGTCCTGGGGCACCCTGTGGGGAGAGGGGTGCACACCCTGCCTCTTCCCTCAGCACCTGATCTCCCCAGTCCTGTGTCTCCCCAGCTGCTCTGAGCACATGTGTCAGTCCCCCTGGGCTCGTTCACTGTAGATCTTCTTGACAAACCTCAGAAAGCCCAAATCCCAGTGTCCTCAGTGGCTCCTCCTCCAGCCTATAGGCATCCCTCACCGCTCTTGGGCAGGTCCCCGTGCTGTGCCTGGCTCCTCAGCTCTCGCGGATCGCATCCACCCTCCCTGGGTTGACTGTCTCCCCTTTGATGTCTCTCGGATAAAGGTTTGGTGCCGTCTTCCTGTGGGACAGTGGCTCTTCCGTGGGTGAGATCACGGGACACAACAAAGTCATCAACAGCGTGGACATCAAGCAGACCAGGCCATATCGGCTGGCCACGGGCAGTGACGATAACTGTGCCGCGTTCTTCGAGGGGCCGCCCTTCAAGTTCAAGTTCACCATTGGGGTAAGCTGACTTCTCTACTTGGGGTGGATTTAGTGGACTTGGTGCTTTTCATGTGAACTTGGTGGGGTTGGGACCAGTTTAGATGTCCACACAAGCACAGGCACACCCCGCTTATGTCAAAGTGTGTAGACTCATAGTTAGGGTGTGCTGGGGGAAATGTCCCTGAGCTTACCCTATCCCACTGGGGTTCGGGGGAAGGGCACCCCGAGATGATTTTCTTGTTTCTCTAGGATGCGGTTAGGGAGCGTCTGTGAGACTGTACCCAGGTCCCCACATTCCGTTTGCAGGAAAGGGGCGTGGGACTCGGGCTGTCATCTCCTTGAGCTCGGGCTGTACTAACTTCACATGAGTTGGGCCGCTCTCTGCTAAGCTGCCCAAGTTGAGGTGGAAATGAGTTCCCGGCAGCCCCTGCAGAGGGAGAGATCATCGGGGTGGAGGGCAGACCTCAGAGACCTTGTGGTTTCAGGTCCTGACTGCCACAATGAAACGAGGCTTGTTACCAAGTGAGGTGCACACAGCTTTGGTTTCCTAGCAGGTAAAGGTGATATTGACACTAGGTTGTTGTCTGTGACGCTCAGTAGCGTTCTAAAAATGTCTGAGGTGATGTGAGAATGACCACGGTGCCACCCAGGGACACAGTGTGCTCGCACTGCTGGTAAAGGGTGCCACTAGATGTGCGTAGTTTAAAACCACCCCACCTCAGTATCTGCTGGTGCTCCAGTCATGTGGCAGGACGGAGAGTCGCTGGACACAGTCTCTGCTTGTTCTCACTCACCTGCCTACCCAGGGGCTACTGCAAAGGGGTGAACGCTTGGTGTCCTTATGAAGCTGCCCTGGGAAAGGAGGCCAGCACTAGAGCTGCTGAGACCTCCAGGAAGTGACCATGATGGACTGGGGGATAGCTGGTGGGGGGGCTGGCCGAACGGGGGCACTGTTGATGAAGGCTGTGATTCAGGGTCATGGCTTTGGGGGGGTGGGCGGGGCTTTGGAGTATAGGGTGAGATTGCTGAGTCATAGAATGCTCCTGACGGATGTATAGGTGGTTTCTCCAGCCGCAGGAAGCTGGCCTGGCTTGTCTGAGACCCAGCTGATGCTCTGTTTGGTACCATCTGGGCTTGGTTGGACTGTGGCCTAGAGGAGCCCTGTGCTGCTTCAGGCAGAGTGGGCCCACGTTAGAGATGAGGGTTAGACTAGGGGCTCAGGTGCCTGATGCGATAAGGGTCCCAGCCCCTCCTGACGCCCCCTTGGGAGAGCTTGTTCCGGAATTTCTAGAACACCCTTCCTCTTTTCTTTTCCTCCTCCTCCTCCTCCAGCGTATATAGCCCTTGGCCCTGGACCAAGGGGTTCTGGTAGAAACACCAGCCTGCTTGCTGCTGGTCTGCAAGTGGACGCCCCTTTCAGTACCCTGTCCACTGTGAGGACTAGAGTGGGCTTAGGAGGACATGGACCAAAACTGGAGTCTGGGTGGTGACCCGCTGGTTCTACCTTCAAGTCTCTGTAGAGAGGAGCAAGTGGAAGGCCATGAACAACCTGTGTTTTTAGGGCATGCTTCACGTGTGGTGGCAAAGGTTCTCACAGGCTGCGCCCTCCACCCCAGGCTGGGATCAAGCTGGCTTCTTCCTGGAGGTTCAGCTCCGCAGGCCAAGCTGGAAGGCTAGGTGGCAGTGAAGGAGGCCTGGGGGCTCAGCACTGAAGCAGCTCTGTGGGAGAAAGACCTGGGGGCGACCTGCTTCTGTAGACGGTGGTTGGTGCTGTCAGTAGATTCTGACTCAGCCATCTGTTAGACGGAAGTGCCCCAGCCGCTCTGCTGGCTGCTCGAGCCCTCCGTGTGTCGTCCCACACGCATCACAGCTGTCTGGAGACAGCGTATCCCACTCCTGAGCTGTCCTACGTGAACTCAGCTGGGAGTCTCGGGCTTGCCTGTTTTTAGAGAGCTGCCTTCCTAGATCCTCCACACTCAGGATCTGGAGAGCTTCCGCTTGGTTTCTGTTTCCTGTCTGTATCCTTACTCATGACAAGGCAGGAAGTAGCCATCCCTAATCTCCCAGTATCCCTAGTGGCGCTCGTCTGTGGTCATGCGCGCGCTTTGTCCTGGTGGGCCCTGAGTGGATTCCCCTCATCCTCTGCCCCCTCGTCCCCTCACCAATCTGCTCATGGCAAGCCCAGCCCAGCAAAGGGTGAGCGTCCCAGCCAAGATCACGTGAGAGGATGAGGCCCCCATGACGAGTCCTTTGTGACAGTGTGCTATTCCTGGGACAGATCCTGTCGAAGGGAGGGTCCTCACTGTTTCTTACTAAGTGAGGTGAAGGGGTAACACCTCCCAGGGAAGGCGAGGAGGAAGTGGGGGAACCGAATGGAGGCACTCACATTTTAGTTCACAGCGTAAGCCCATCTTTGGAGGTTCCATGAGGACGGGGTTAAGCAGGTACAGACCCTAACCGGGGGCTGCCAAACCTGACTCATGGGGTCTCCCTGTGTGCCGCCAGAGCAGTGTCCTCTCAGAAATACATCATCAGACTAGCTTTTGAGGCACCTTTGGGTGGGTCATGGCTGTGTGGAGACCTGGAGGGAGGACTGGGGGGCTCCCAGCAAGTTGTCCCATGGGAGAGACACGTTCCTGCCAGGGGAGACCCAGTGAGACGGGCCAGGGCTGGTGGCACACAGAGGGCCCCAGAGCGCCCCATGTGTTCCCCTTCCTGTGCCCCGCCCCGCCTCCTGGGGAAGGGCTATTTTTAGCCTACTGCTTTTGGTTAATGGGCTGTGGCTTTTCCTTCACATGGTTATTTCAGGCCAGACATCAGTCTCCTGCTCATTCCAGCTCTTGGCTCAGTTGCAGGAAAAGTTGACAAGGGTTAGCTGAGTTCACAGGCTGGCTGGGGTTCACATAGCTCCGGGCTCAGGGGCCTGAGAGCACCTCATCCTGGGAGCAGTCAAGCCCACAAGGACCAGCAGCGTCAGTCACTGTTGGGCTCGGGCGGGGGTTCCCTGTTGTAGTGTTGAATGTCTGGTTAGGCTTCTGAGGAGGCTGACCTCACGTCTGACCAGGGCGTGCAGTCGGGGAACAGCTGGAGTTCCGACCTCAGGGGACCAGGAAATTGCAGTTGGAACTGACTGGCAGCTTTAATGATGATAGACTTCTCAGGCACAGCAGAGGAGAAAGTCGCACACGTGCACCCCAACCCCAGGGCTGCCATCTCTGCTCAGGAAGGCTGGCCGGCCCTTGTTGGCTCAGAGTGGCTGGGGTGAGGGTGTCCAGGAGAGGATGGGGGCTGAGAGGAGACAGGAGCCAGATGAGGACAAGGAGTGGTCTTCAATGCGGTGGTGTGGCCAGATGTCTGGAAGTGGATGTTTGTAAGCCCCAACCCAATTCTTGAAGTCAGTTTCCACTCAGCCACACTGCAGGACAGAATACAGCTGGTGGGTTCCAATGCCCACCTTCCGGTGCACCGCTGGGCACCTTCACCACTGTGCCACCAGGGTTTCTTGTGAAATCTTTTGGTGGCTTTTTAAGACCCAGATTTCCCTCTTTGGACCTATTTTCCTCTCCTGGAAGAGGGGGTTGTGGGGCCCAGTCTTTCCTGAGTAGGAGTTTTCGAGGGTTAAAAGGGAAGTCATCGGGGAGGGCTTGGTGTCTGAGGTAGCCCTCTGACTGTGGGTGTGTTGGGGAACAGGTAGCAGGCAGCCTGTGGAGTTAGAGATCTGACCCTGGGCTGGTTCCCTGCCAGGTATGGAGCTCAGGAGAAACTGGACACCTGTTACTAGCTCCTGTTACGCGGCCCTGTGGGCTGGCCGGGAGGCCCTCTCTGGCAGAGCAGTGGCTTGAGGAGGCTCTGGGAAAGAAATAATGGGAGGTAGCATTGTGGAGGTTTGAGGCTACCTGGGAATCCCCATCCCTCCAGCTCCAAATCTGTAGTGACCTTGGAAGATACAGAGGGGGGAATCTTTAAATACAGAAAAGCTCCAGCAGCCCCGTAAAGTCCCAAAAGAAGCTAAAACCGTAGAAACTAGCCGTGCTTAGTGGGCCCTGGTCAACGCTGACTACCACAGAGGCCGTGTGTGTGACCCCAGCCCCTGCTCGGACCACCTGTGTGTCGGCAGGTCTCAGCCCACCACTAGGCTCTGGCCGCTGCTGTTGCGCAGACCCTACAGCTAGCGTTAAAACAGACGATGAGTCAGCCCGACGCAGACATCCCAACTCCTGCCACTGCTTTGTGTGGGTATGGTGGGAGTGTTGGTGATTCTGGGAGATTCTGACTCCTAGTGACACCCCAGGGAGCACCCATAGGAACTGCCCCTAGGTTGTCCTAGGTTGTGCTCCTGCCAGAGGCAGCAAGTCGCCATGGTTTTCCTCCCGTGGAGCAGTTGGCGGGTTCAAACTGTAGCCTTGGGCCTAAGCCCCGCACGCCCAGGGGCTCCCTTCCATGATTGTGGTGAGCTCTGAGAGGAGGCAGGAAGGACAGGTGGCCATTGAGGAAGGCGCTTCCCCACCTCATTGTACCTAGCTCCAGCCCTGCACCGTGTCCAGGGTCAGCTGGAGGTCAGACTTCTGCTGTCCCATGGAGTTTCCATTGTCTCATTTTGGGAAGTACAGCCCCAGGTCTTTCTCCTAGTCTGTCTCCATCTGGACGCTCCTGTGAAACCTGATTAGCATCAAAGCAAACCATAGGCCTCTGCTGACAGGTCTTCCCTCAGAGAAGGCAAGAATGCCCCCCACCTCACCCCCATCCACTGCCTCCAGTCTTGCTAGGTGTCGTCGAGTCGGTTCTGACTCACAGCGACCCTGTGCGCAACAGAATGAAGTGCTGCGTGGTCCTGAGCCATGCTTACAGTTGGTGTTAGGTTTGAGGCCAGTGTTGCTGCCCTGTGGCAGGCCTTCTCATTGAGGGTCTTCCTGCTTTTCACTGACTCTCTGTTTTACCAAGCAGGATGTCCTTCCCTAGGGACTGATACTATACCCAAATTACTAGAGATGGTGTTGCCATCCTCAGTTCTAAGGAGTACTTTGGCTGTGCTTGTGAGTAAGATAGATTTGTTTATTCATCTGGCAGTCCACGATACTTTCAGTGTTCTTTGGTAACATCTCAAGATTGATTCTTCTACGTCACTGTCCAACTTCATATAAGGTAATTGAAAATACCATGGCTTGGGTCAGGCACGCCTTAGTCCTTAAACTGACATCTTTGCTCTTGAACACTTTAGGAGAGATTTGCCTAATGTAATACGTCCTTTGATTTCTTGACTACTGTTTCCATGCGTGTTGATAGTGGAGCCTTTTCTCCATTTATCATGCTATTTATTGGTCAGGTGTGAAAATTTTTGCTGTCTTTATATTGAGGTGCAGTATGTACTGAAGGCTGTATGTAGTCTTCGATTTTCATCAGTATTTTCAGCCCTCTCTGTTTTCAGCTAGCAAGGTTGTATCATCTGCATATCGCAGGTTGTTAATGAGTCTCTCTCCAATCCTGATGCCACGTTCTTCTTCATAGAACCCAGTGTCTCGGATTATTTGATCAGCACTGATTTGAATGAGTTTGTTGAAGGATAGAACCCTGGTAAACACCTATTCTGATTTTAACGCATTCAGTGTTCCCATGTTCTGTTTAATCAGCTGCCTCTTGGTCTATATACAGGTTCCTCATGAGCACAGTTAGTGTTCTGAAACACTTAATTCCATACAAGGTATGTACTAGGATGCAAACCAGAAGCACTCAATATGACATGTTAGGCCTGTTAACCATGAAATGAAACCAAAGAACGAGATCACATTTCCATCTTAAAATCATCCTTTTTAGATTGGTCCATGGTGTGGAGGGATCTGTGTTCCTGTTTCTGCTGCAGGTCCCCCTGCTCTGGGGTCTGCCTGGCCTGAACTGACTACCCCTGTGAACCGACAGGGACAGAGATGCGTGTGGGTTGAGGGGCGTGCTGTGCTATACAGTTGGCTGTGCAACGTCATGAGGGGGCAGCCCAGGGTTCCTGTTGTCCGTGGGACATGGGCCTGCTGGGTGGGTGACTCTTTGGGGCAAGGGTTCCTTCTGCCTGCTTCTTGGGCTGCAGTCTGGCCTTTGCTGTGAGCAGGCTTGAGTCATGGCCTTGGGAACCACCTCATAGCAGCCCAGGGGACACAGGATTTCTCCTTCCAGACCTGAACTTCATCTGTAAAATGGGTGTGATCCAGCCGCTGGTTTCCCTGGGTGTGGGAGTAGGGGCTGCACTTTGAGTTCAGGTTTTCCTGCCGGAGCTCTCCTCCGACACCTAAGATGTTCAGAGTTGCTCCTTCCAGACCATCAGCTGCTTGCCGGGAGGGAGAGGGCCTGGGGCAGCTTGCAGGCTCAGTCTCTGCTACACATACTTCCTGGCTCCCGTTAAGGTGGCCAGGTCTCAACATCACTCACACCCTCATTTCTGAGGAAGGTCATGACCTTCTTTAAAAAGTCAGTTAGTTGTTCACTCACCAAATGTTCAGCAAGCACCTGCGCTGGGTCCTGGGCCCAGGGGGACATGGGCTGTGTCTGTGTGAGTCCAGGGGCTGGGCACAGGGGCACATGGGTTGTGTCTGTGTGAGTCTGGGTCCTGGGCCCAGAGGGACATGGGTCCTGTCTGTGTGAGCCCGGGGGCTGGGCACAAGCCCATCTAGGGACCAAATGGACTTGATGATCGCTCATGTTTGCAGCGGGCTCTTTATTTCGTAGCGGTCTATCCTGGATTTCAGCATCTCGGCTGTGGCCTCTTGCCCAGGCCGCTAACTTTGCACTTTTCCGCAGGACCATGGCCGCTTTGTCAACTGTGTGAGGTTCTCCCCTGATGGCAACAGGTTTGCCACCGCCAGTGCGGACGGCCAGGTGAGGCGCCCCTCTGTGTCCCAGAAAGTGGGGTTGGGGGGTGAGAGGGCTGCCGTCCTTCTGGTCTGTGAGACATGCCACCTATCCTATACGCAGCTTAGAAACCTCACTTCCTTACAGGCGGGGCTCCAGACACATCTGTGTCTTTAAACAGAACTCTGGAACTCAGTCTGGTTGTTAAGTAGAGTCGGTTACGACTCATAGAGACCCCCTGTATAGGGTTTCCAAGGAGCGGCTAATGGGTTTGAACTGTCAGCCTTGGCTGTTAGCAGTCCAGTGCTGATCCTACAGTGCCACACCAGGGCTCTATCTGGTAGCATTGTTTGATTCTTACTCTTAGAGAAATAGTAGATCTGAACCCGGTCTGAATTCAGGTTCTCAGTGCTGAGGGCATTCACACACACGATCCATCTGTGCCTTTATTTCCTCAAAGATCTACATCTATGACGGGAAGACGGGAGAGAAAGTGTGCGCCCTGGGAGGAAGCAAGGCTCATGATGGCGGGATTTACGCGGTGAGTATGTATCTGCGTTTCAGGGCTTTGTAAGCACAGTATGTGATCTAGATGTTTGCTGTCGTCGGAGCTTATTTTGAAGGTCGACTTGGAAGCGAGGAGTTAAAATTAAGGGGCGGTGGTGCCTAGCTCAGTTTTGCACAGAAGCGGGTGATGCGGTCACGGGAGGCCTGGCCTCCGGCCCTTTCCCTCCAGAAATGCTCTGACCCGGGCCACACCATTGTGTCCTAACAGATTAGCTGGAGTCCTGATAGTACCCACCTGCTTTCTGCCTCCGGAGACAAGACATCCAAGATCTGGGATGTCAACGCGAATTCCATTGTCAACACGTTTACCATGGGCTCCAACGTCCTAGACCAGCAACTGGGCTGCTTGTGGCAGAAGGACTACCTGCTCAGCATCTCACTGTCTGGGTACATCAACTACCTGGACAAGAACAACCCCAGCAAGCCCCTGCGGGTCATCAAGGTAAGGAGGGATACGGGGGGAGATAGTGGCTAAGAAGTGGGTGATCCTTTGTGGAAGAACGGGAAGGTATGGCCAAAGCTGAGGCAAACTAGTGACCAGAGTTCGGATCCCCGTGGCTCCTGTTCAGAACCAGGGCTTTGGGGAGTGGTCTCCCTGTAGGAATCATGGGTAGTCCCAAAATACGACCATGACCCTGTGGTCATGTGAGACAAGGTGGGAAGGTGTGGGGTTTGTCACGTTGAGGGTAAGGAGAAGGGAGAGGATCCAGTGTCCGGGGTCCTTCATCTGAGTCTGGGCCGTGGACAGTGAATGCTTGCCTGATGGAACAGAGGAGAAACATGGGAGGGGCAGCTGGGTGAGCAGAAACGAACCCCCTCAACTAGTTTGTCAGGACCTTGCATGCCGGCCCGGGACTTGGGCAGTAATGAGGAGGGGGTGGTTGAGGGGCTGACTCGGGCATTTGCTCTGCAAATGGGGAAGTGGTTCGCGTGCTCCGAGACCTCTGCCCCAAGTCCAGCTCTAGCATTGCCACCTGTTTCAGATGCTCCTGTGCCAGGAGCTGGTGGGCACTGCTGTGTCAGAGCAGGACCTCGGATCGGGCCCACACCCCGTGGCCTCCCATGCCTCTGGGTCACGATTCCTAGGGCAGTAGCCTCCACTGTGCACGACCTTCTCATGCCCTTGAGGCCCCTCCGTGTGGTAGTGGGGTCAAGCAGACAGACCCCTGGGGAGGATGCTGTCAGGGCACTCTAGTCACCAGACCGCGTGTGTGTCAGATCCCAGAGGGTTTTCTGTGACGGGGTTTCTGGGAGGCACATCGCCAGGTCTTTCCCTTGAGGCCCCTCCAGCGTCTCGGTTAGCAGCCAGGTGATCTCCGTGGGCTCCAGTAGTAGGTGTCAGGGTCACGTAGCTGGTGCCCTAGTGCCTGTCACACAGCTTACTTACGGGTGAGCCTGCCCAGGTTCCCTTGGGTCCCAGTGTGAAGACTCACCCTTCTCCACCTCCTGCTCTGGGGTGCTGGTGGTTCCTGGGCGCTGCCCGGAAACAACAGAACTCGGTTTTCACACTGTGGGGAGTCTGGATGGCCAGAATCAGGGCATCTGCAAGGCCGAAAGGAGCCCTATGGCGCAGCAGTTAGTGTTTGGCTGCTCATCGAAAAGTCAGTGGTTCAGACCCACCAGCTGCTCTACAGGTGAAGGACAAGCAGTCAGCTTCCGTAACGAGGACGGTTGTGGAAATCTCGGGGTGCTCTGCTCTGCCCTGCTGGCTCACTGAGTCGGAACCGACTCTGGCAGTGGGTTTGGTGTGGGGTCCTTTCTGGTATCTCCCAGCACCGGGTGCCCCTTGTGCTGCCTCATTCCAGTCGGTCTGTCTGTCTGTCTGTCTATCAGTTGTCAGTTGGCTCAGGGCCCACCCCAGCAATACATGGTGGTCTCCTAGAGATCCGTAGCTTCATCACATTATCTGCAGAGACCTCCCTCTTTTCCCGCCTGCTCGGGACCATCCACAGGATCCCACTGTTAGGATGTGACTGGACCATCACCCTGTACTGGGGTGAGGAGCCTGGTCAGAGTCCGTCACGTGTGCCCTGGGAGACTTCTGCCCACAGGCCCGGCCCTGGGCACTGCTGCATCAGGCGGCTCCAGGAGTCTCTGGGGGTGTTCTGTTGTCAGGAGTAAAGCTGAGCTCGGGCTGCCGGAGTTTCAGTGTTGGGGGCCATGTGAGTGAGCCTGGGAGAGTCGTTCCCAGTGGGCTGGAGCCCCACCTGTCCACCCGCCCGCATGTCTGAGGTGCCAGGTGACTGATGGCGGCTGAAGCCACTGTCCTGTTCACTCTCTAGTAGTTCTGGGACCAGGACGAGGGCCCTGGTGTCAGGACAGAACAGCTCAGTTCTCCCTGAGGTCTGCGGGTGCCTCTCTAGAAGAGACACCAGACAGGGAATGATGAGCGAGAGTCTAGGAAGGAGCGGAGGGGGAGATGGGGCTGCAGGTTACACACCACCACAGAGGGAATGGGCTTGGACCTGGAGTCAGAGGTCAGATGAGAACCAGACCAGAAGAACAGACTTCTGCTGTGAAAAGCCCTCACTGCTGTCCTCCCCTGGGTGCCCAGCCTGTTCCAGGCAACAGCCAGTGGTGGGACTTTTCAGATGATGAGCTGAACCCAGCCTGGGGGCCGTGTCTTCAGGGAGGTGAATGGGGGCTGTGGGCCAGGTCTCGGCACACACACACCATCAGCCACGTGTCTCTCTCGCCTGTCCTCCGCTTACCACCCTGTCTGTCCCCTCTGCAGGGTCACAGTAAGTCAATCCAGTGTCTGGCGGTGCACAAAAACGGCGGCAAGTCCTACATCTACTCCGGGAGCCACGATGGGCACATAAATATCCTTTGACTCAGCGCTGGCCCTAGGGCCACCAGCAGGGGAGGGGCAACGTCCTGTCCCTGTGTGCTGAAGGTGTCTGCCCTGCCGCTCTGTCCTGGGAGGAGGGGGGCGTCGGCTGAGAAGAGCCCAGCTGTGGTCCCCAGTGACTGACGTCGTCTCTGACCTTGAACTGCTTCTCCCTGTGAAGGAGAGCTGGCACCTCTGTGTGAGCGGTAGAGCAAAGGAGCGAGAGCTCACATTCAGAAGGACGTGTTTATAGAAACGAAAGACTGAAGCTCAGACAGCCACAAAGCCAGCCCTCTAATCCCAACTCCGAGGGTCCACCCGCTGCCTGAGGGACGCCAGAGCCGCCTTTGGCACAGGGCTCTTACTCGTTGGAGCTCAAGCTTCCAGCCGGTTCAGAGAAGTAAAGTAGTGGCCGTCGTAAGCAAGGGCTGCATACAGGCTGCATAGCTGTCCACTCAGCTCCCCGAAAGAATGGACAGTGACCCCCTCCTCCTTCCCCCGTGGCTCGTGAGACTTTGAGGAGGAAGGACAGTTAGGAGAGCAGCAGGCATCCACACTGGTGGAGTTGACCACCGTCTCTGAGCAGACACAATTATTACCCACTTGGAGCAAAATACCACCGGAAATAGATTCGGTTGTGTGTATAACACGTGTTGTTGTTAGATGCCACCGAGTCGGTTCCGAGTCATAGTGACCCTGTGTAGGGTTTCCGAGGAAGTAGCTGATGGATTTGAACTGCCGACCTTGTGGTTTACAGTCCAGTGTTTACCCTACAGCACCCCACCAGGAGTGTGACACGTGCAGGCCAGCAATCCCAGCACCGTCTGCACGGTTCAGAACCCTGGTTGGTGAGAACGAGTGGTCAGTTACTGAAGTGTCCCCCTTACTCATGGGGTGCCTGCACAAACCACTCAGAGAAACATGAGTGTGGGCCAGTCCCTGGGGTCATGGGCCAACAGGTCACCTGCTGCTGTTCACAGGGCTTCAACATCCATTTCTGGGAAGAGCAGAGAGATGGCTAGGTGTGAAACAACAGGGAGCCCATGTCTGGCTTCCTCTGGCTTCACAAGGAGATTCCTGAGGCGGAGGTCAGAAATGTCTGCACCGTATTCTGACACTACCCATGCCTCCCACAGCATCCCTGTTTCTCTGCTGGGTTTAATAATCTGTTAAAATGACCACACAGAACTCCAAGATAATATTCATAATCATGGAGTCCCAGTGCAGCACTGTAGGGTAAGCACTGAACTGTAAACCACAAGGTCTGCTAGCACTTCAAGCCCACCAGCTGCTCCTCGCAAACCCTGCACAGGGTTACTATGAGTTGGCTCCACACAGCGACAGTGGGGTTTATTAGGGAAGTAACCGGGGTAGCACTCGGGATCGGAAACAGCTCGGGGTGCGGCAGCTCACCAGTCAGGAACACTTCTTGTCTGTCGTACCGCAGGCACGCCTCACTCTTGTCTTCAGCCTCAGCCACGTGGACCCTTGGCATCTGCCCTGCTCGGGCAAAGCTCTGCACGTTCTGCAAGCCAGCCCCCTGCCTGTAGGCACTGAGGTGTACTCCATCCGTGGGCAGGATGCCCGCAGCTGCTGCCTGTCTGCCTCTACTTCTGCTACCAGCAGTGTTCCAAGTAGGGGTCTCACACTCTGCTCTACTTTCTTGGTGGCACTTGGTTCGTCTGTTTCTGAGATGGTTCCTTTTTAGACCCAGTGGGATGGCAAAAACTAACCAGGCCTGCTGTTAAGATTCCCGTGAACCCTATCTGCATGACCTCACACAGTCATTTGGTGGGAGTTAGGGAGGCTTTGCATAGAAAAGCCACATCGAGTCAATTCGCAGTGCCGCTCCACGCTAGCTCTCTTACACAGCCTCCTGATGAAAGTGGCTTTTCTGTGTCCACCTGGCCTAAAAGCAGGGCCTGTGGACCCCAGAGTGGAAGGTTGCTCCACGGTCATCTGTTTGCACAGTTCCACGTGGCTCCTGGAGTTGTGTGACTACCGAGGAGACCGAGAACGTGGTGTGAGCCCGGGTGACTGCAGGCACACCGGCACTGCTGAGGAGCAGCCCTCGGCCCATGCCCTGTTCCCAGCATGCTGTTCTTTAGCCGCTGCCCGGGAGCACAGCCTTGGTCATGCCCTCATGAGAGGAGAGGCCTCGGTACCACAGCGTCAATAGGTCCTTTTCCTTAACCCCTCGCCCCACATTACTGGGATTCCGAGACGGGGGAGAATGACTCCTTCGCTGGAAAAGGCCACACGAACCAAGTATCCAGGATGGCCGTGGATGAAGCTGGTCAGCTGGTCAGCTGCAGCATGGACGACACCGTGCGATACACCAACCTCACGCTGCGGGACTACAGGTGAGCCTGCCCGCCTGCTGCTGCTCTTGGTTTCTCCGCTCATAAAGGAAGGTGGCCTCCAGGGAGCCTGCATATCTTGGGACTGCGGCCCAACAGGCCGGGGCCTCACAGCCTCTGAGCCTGGGCTCCGTGTCAGGTTACCCCGTCTTTCTCACGGACTGAAAGTCGATGTTTTGTCAGGTTTTGCTTTGGAGCCTGTGGTTGACAGGTCTTACAGCTAGGACAGGAACCCCCAAAATCAGACACGCTCCATTGTGTAGGCTCTGCCTCCTAGCAACCCCCTGGAGCAGCATAGATGTGCTCCAGAGGGCGCCCAGGCTGTGGTCTTTACGGAAGCAGACAGCCACATCTTTGTCCCAGAGTCGGAGGTGGGTTTGAACCACCTGCTAGGCTGATAACTATGACCAAATAACTTACAGGTTCGCCACAGCAAACTCTCACAGGGGAGCATGAGGGGAAACAGTCCTGTGTCCAGACATGGGGGCTCCAGCTTGCAGACCTGACGTGCTGAGCCCCCTCACACACACCACACACTGTACTAACCACAGTCCACACCCGCACCCCATCTACCCACAAACACACACAGACACATATATACACACCCCACCCACTTACCTAACTCAAGACATCCCACACCCACACCGCACCCACCCATAAACACAGACATATACACACCCCATGCAGTTACACATAACACCTACAAGCACACGCACACACATCCCCCAGGTTTCGTGCACAGATCTCTGTCCTGGTCGGCAGCGGCCTGTCTCACTTCGGAGATGGGACCACTGCTGGGCTCGTGGCAGACACGTTTACTACACGGGGCTTGTTAACCCCATGGGAACGCTGCGTCTAAGAGTGACTCATTCACTCTGAGAAGTGACAGAGCCTGCTGGGGACCCAGATGTCCAGGCCATGGTCTCTCTTCTGCCTTATAGTGGTCACCCAGTCAGGAAGCTTGTAGAACTCCACACTCAGCCCAGTTATCACGGAGATTCCCTCCGTTCAGTTTTCAGGAAGTGTGTGTGTGCCTGTGCGCAGATGCTCTCAGCATGTGTTTTCAGAGTAATCGAGCTAATCAGGACAGGAGAACACCGGGTTCTCATCCTGTGTGTGTGTGCGTGTGTGCGTGCATGTGCATGTGTGCAGATGCTCTCAGCGTGTTTTCAGAGCAGTCGATGAGTTGGCCAGGACAGGAGAACACCGGGTTCTGTGTGTGTGTGTGTGTGTGTGCGCAGATGCTCCCAGCATGTGTTTTCAGAGCAGTCGATGAGTTAACCAGGACAGGAGAACACCGGGTTCTGTGTGTGTGTGTGTGTGTGTGCGTGTGTGTGTGCGCGCGCAGATGCTCCCAGCATGTGTTTTCAGAGCAGTCGATGAGTTAACCAGGACAGAAGAACACCGGGTTTTGTGTGTGTGCGTGTGCGTGTGTGTGTGCGAGCGCGCGCGCGCGCAGATGCTCCCAGCATGTGTTTTCAGAGCAGTCAATGAGTTAGCCAGGACAGGAGAACACCGGGTTCTGTGTGTGTGTGTGCGCAGATGCTCCCAACATGTGTTTTCAGAGCAGTCGATGAGTTAACCAGGACAGGAGAACACCGGGTTCTGTGTGTGTGTGTGTGTGTGTGTGTGTGTGTGT